AGGGGAACTGAGCACCTAGTACTTCCCACCTTCAAAATGAACCCTGTCTGGTGTCTGGAAAGAAATCAGAAGCTCATAAATCAGACCCCTAAAGCTGTATCCTGGTGTCAGTTTTCGTGCTGATGCCAAATGTATTTCAATGTGAAAGAGTGAAAATGGGCATTATTTTTAGATAAAATTCCTGCAGAAGATAAGTGTTAAAAAAAAATAGTTAATTTTGACTTGAAAAATTTTGAATATTTAATTAAAACATTTCATGACAAATTTCATTTATTTCTCATTGATTTCTATAATAAATATCTCACCATTATCTGTATGATACAGAATGTTATTTGTGACTGTTAGTTCCAGATTCTTTCAACAAGTAATATGCAGTTTTACACAGGTAATTTTTGTCCACATAACTCATGTGAGTGCTAGGTTACAGTGGTACGGGAAATCCTGACTGAACACTGTTACTGACTCTGAAATGCATCAGTGATCACAGAAATATTAATTTATACTTATAATGCATGAGATTCTCTTGTCTGCTATGGACAAGATGACCCTCACAGTGCATACAAATTATAATGGCATCTTGTAAGAATTACTATTTTTACTAAAGCAATACAAAGAAAGGTTATGAAAAGAACTGTCATTGACTTACAAGAAAAGCTGCCTGGCATGTGAGCACTTCGCAGAATTTTAAAGTCAAATACACTTACTTTGTCGTGGTTTTTGTGGTACAGACAATTCTGTGCATTAGCATCAAATCTGCTAAATGAGAACAAAAGGCTTACCTTCTTTTCAAATCAATCTAGTCCTTAAATAAGAAGATTCTTATATCAGTGATCGTAACATTTAAGTTTCCAAATGATTTAAGTATAATCCTTTAACTAAAAGGCTACCAGCAGCAGAAGCAACAACAACAAAAAAAAATCTTAGCACCTATACCTGAGAAGCCAAGAGTAAACTACTTGAAATAGAACAACTTAATTCAAATGGATATACTGAAACGTATCTACCATTTGATCTCCCAGTGTGGTTAGTCTCTATATATCTGTTCACAGTAAAACTCAATCAGATCCATTTACTTTTACATGTCCTTATTTCAAAGTTTATGTGTGAGCCCTATGACCACTCAGAAGGTCTGTAGACTGTTTACCAAAACAAGATTCCTAATCTATAGCAGCCTGAAAGATAAGCTGATTTTACATTATTTGAGATGACAGTGTTACAACTGAATATTATGGGAGAAAGAATTTTAAAATCAAAAACCTTGTGTTGATTCATGCTTTGAAAATTAGTATTTATAGCACCCATCTCAATCTAACAATATGAAAGCTACTGTAAGATTTCTGTTCCCATGGTTTCCAATAACCGTCTCTGTATAGGGTAAATCCCCCCCTATAAATACTCAAATATATCACATGCCAATATGTAGTTCTGTGTCACCATGGAACTGCAAGTGTATTTTCACATTTAAATTCCTTTGCTACACTCCATTTTATAGAATCAGCTTAACAAAAATCTGTTTTCCATCTGTTTCATAGATCAACACCAACAGTCATTCGTCAATTGTCAACTTGTTCCCTCTTATCTAGCTATTGAAGATAATCTACCATATACCAGATAAAACAGTTTAGTTTTTATAATCTGTTCTTACAGAGCCAGGCTCAGGGAGAAACAAAGTACATACTTGATGTCTTTGCATGTCTTTCCATTACCATCACATAATTTATGGTAATAGCTTTTATACTGGAGAAATGCATAAGATTTATGCCATATTCTGTTCAAGAAAAAATTAAGTATTTTAATAAACCAAATAATAGCTACCCAAGACCTGCACACCTCAAAATTCAAAATAATTTGCTGTTTTGGAATCTGAATCATGCTTTCTGAAGCTTAAGAGCTGTCAATGCTGCCAGTGTACTTAAATGATGCACATTATACCATCTTCTATGAAGAACTACTTGTCCTCCCAAACAAAGACTTCCTAGGCATCTTTAAAGTTTTAAGTCTTATTTTACTGATTTATTAATTTATATACAAAAATATAAGCATATTATTCACATCTTATAACAAGCATTTTAGCAGCAAGAATTCTATTGTAGAAGTATTTATTATTAAATGACAGCATTTCAGAGTTTATACTGCAGCTTACTTTTCACCTGAAAAGTAAGAGACTACAAGGAAAACAAAACTCACAGGATTGCCTCCTTAACCTCAAATGAATATGGCTAAACTGAAACAGAGTACATCAGTGTTGTAATACTCAAAGTTTAGTATTTTATCAGGACGTAATACGAGAATTAAAAGGGCAAGTGTTTTTTATGTGAGAAGGTTTAGTTTCCCCCTGGTTATTGCACAGTTTGCTCATAACGCCTGTCTTTAATAACTGCTACATTTGCCTGTGAATAACACAGGAATCGAGAGCTTAAGCTTCCTTTCAGTTCCACTGCCAAAGCACATCAAATTGTACGAAAATTGAAAAAGCTATTGGAGAGACAGGAGAGAAGGGGAAAATTAAAGAATTTTTTGTTTTAAATACAAAATGGGAGACAATAAAATACTAACCACAGGACATTTCTGATACAACATTTAACTCACCCTTGAACACACTCAAATTACTCTAAAGGTAATAAAGCAGACAATTCTACTTAACCAATATGTTGGATTCCCACACTTCAGTAAACACCCTCAGTACACCTAATAATTTGGAACAAGCCAGATGTTAGTACTGAGTTTATTGGATAGCATTTTCAGTTACTACTGATTATTACATAAAAAGATGATTCAGTGATCAACAGGGGTGAAAAAAAGCAGGAAAATACTCTTGAAAGCAATTATGAGAATAAGAGATTCTTAGAAAAACAAGCCAATAAATCCCAAGTCTCTTAAACATTGTAATGAATCTTCTATTTGTAAAGAACAAACAGACAAGGTACATAAGCAATACCACTCATTACTGGCTCTCCACTATATGTTTAATAACCCAACAGAGCAATTGAAGGCTTGAGGCAAAGCCAAATAATTTTAATTTTTCTGTAGTAATGAAAAACAAATATCTACCAGAGTGAAGATGCTTGCTTTGCACTTACCAGAGGCAAAAGATTCTGCACAGGCTATTTTATCTTATGCCATCATTAAGTTTTATCCTTAAAAGTGAAGGGAATTCTGGAATATACAAGAGCAGCACAAAATATATATGTAAAATTCAAATGTAATCAAAAAGTAATGGATACTTAAAATAATCTCATATTAAATTTTTAGAGCTCTGTATGACTCCTAAGGTTATCATATTCTCACAGACGTTTCTGCATTTATGTCTGTTTAGACAAATTTGAATACAAGCACTCAAATGTTAAATCTGTGCAAGAGAAGTAGCTGTAACAGAAAAATAAATTATTTGCCTTTAAGATCCAGAAATAATAAAACTGCAAGCTTGGCAAGCTTTACTGTACTGCACTTTCGAC